GGGAAAGAGACCCTAACTTTAGTGCAAGTTGGACGAGCTTGTCCTACTCCCCCCCGCAGAAAACCCCAAAAGGCAGGGAATGCAAAACATCAGGATAGTGCCAGGAAAGTCCATGAGGCAGGCTCCCTCGCCCACACTTAAAATGGTCCTTTCTCAAAACCATATTCAAAAGCCACCCAATTCCTTTGAACACCGTGCGCTCCTCTTAGGCGGTCCGCTTCATTGCACGGAGGGGCTGTCTACTGCTTTAAGTGCAGAACAAGCTCACGATGGTGAGTGCAGGGCTGTTAGGTCCTGGTCCTATAGCCTTTTGCCATGACTGGCCTCTTGGTTCTTTTGGCAAACTCTTGTGTGGCCGCACACATTCATTTTCCTTTCATGCACCTAAATTTCTCCCGTTACTACTCTTGAATGGAAAACGACGCCTCTCTCACCTATGTGCTGTCCGTACATGTGATAGTAGAAGCTAAAACAATACGCCGTGTTGGTAGCTCCGTAAGGATTTTGAGGCACCACACTGAAAACAGGACTAACAAGTCTGGCCTTTTCTCCTTCCAGCCTGGGGCGCGACGTTTCAATGTACATGTAGAAACCTGGAAGAAGCCCCAAAGGACACTGTTAAATGCGGTTTTGAAAAAATAAATACCCCCTCCCCCCCAAAAAAACCCAAAACAACAAGGGACACCTCCTCCCTTCCCGATATACGAGCAATACATCAGGGGTGTTAAGAGCCTTGAATAATGTTAGGCATTGCTACGACAGTCCAAAGGTTGCAGAGATGCTTTTTTTGAGAGTTGAACTACACAAAGTCCCGGTGCGTCCCCACGCGAATGCTTCAAAGAGATTTTTTGCATGGAGAGTAAAAGCTGCGTTAGCATTTTGTGCTCATGGGCCTATTTAGAGAGAGAAACTAGGAGGTATGCACAAGCAAAGGGGGAAAACAAATGATTTGCCAGGCTTCAGTCTCAAGGCTGCACTGTGTTTATATAAATAGTGAGAGAAGATATCTTGATGGCATCCTTTCTAAGAAACCATTCCAGCAGCCTTATCCATCATTGTTCCCATGCTCACCCTCAGTGAAAGAACACAGTTCTTATTCATTCTGACACTGGGCTATGTCAGCATTATAGATACCATTTCTTTAATCTCATTTGCTCAATCATTGTAACCAAGCAGAGACAATGCAACGTGCTTTTGTTTCCTAGTGCAGGCTAGGCGCAGTGGGAGTGACCGAATCCTCGCTAAACCCAGCACTCCTGGTCTGATTCTCAATGGTCCAGCGCACACAGAAATCAGAGTTCAGCATATTAGCTAGCTGGAGAGCCAGTCAGATTTATTATGCATCTCAGCAAGGTCCAGACTACAAATGGGGTAAAGATTTCAGCTATCAGAGACTAGTTAGTGAGTATTCAAATTATTTAAAGGGACAGCATGTTGGATATAAAAAGCCACAGGGTCTACTGTAGAGGAGCGATCGCCTTTAAAATGATGCTAGAAATGGCACAAGGCAGGATCCACAGCATTTAGCCTTGGATATGGATCTGAACTCTTGCAGAGTTTAGGGACACTCAGATGCAGTTTTCTACTTCACCGATCCTCCCTACCGAACGCTAGAGTTTCCTTTCTAAATTATACTTCCAATAGACTCATCCTAAATACTGTTGAGTGCCACGTAAGGACAGGCAGAGATGAGAGGGACTTTTGAGGTTGGATAAATCCTGAATATAGCTATCCAGTTTCCCCCCCAACTGAGGACCTGGCTCCCTACCACAGCAGAAATCTAAGCTAGGTTTTACCTTCTTTGGACCCGGTTCGGTCTGCAATAGGCCCAGTGTTTGGAGTGTATTTTGGGTGTCTGGTGAGAGTGCTTTGTTTCGTCCAGTCAAAATTGTCCGTATCATCTTGGGTGAATAGACAGATGTTATTGTCCTCAAACCCACAGTGAAACTCCCCTGCCAACACAGGAAATGAACATGCATTCAGTGACTGCAACCACTTTATGATTAGCTTTCATAAGTACTAAGGTATAAAACCATTTTAAAGAACAATGGCCATTATTAGCATTCAGAGCCTAGAAAATATTTTAAAGCAATAGCAAAGGTCACAGGGACAGTTTCCTTACAAAGGGCAATTTTTTGTATTTATCTGGATTGCTAAGACATGTACCTGGCCATCACTCCAGTGGTTATGTAAAACAGAAACACGTATGAATCTTTTTCAGTAGCTCCCCATGCCATTCTTTATTACACTAAGCCACTCTCTTCGAGAACAATTGGTCTCCTCTCCTAACTACCCACCCATTCTTCCAAAAACCCTCGGAGAATAAATATGCTTTTCAGCATCAAGGTCAAGAGGTGCAAGCTTCAATCTAAGGAATGAGAAGAATTTCGGATGAAGCAGTGAGGCATTATCCACCAGCCTCCTCCTCTGGAAAGCAAGATGCAGTTCAACTGATCTCAATAGTGATGAGAGAGTTTTTACTTTCAAGGCAGCCAAGAACCAAAATCGTTCAGGACTTTGGGACCTGATGCATTATCCTTGTCCCAGCAGAGCATGGTCTGCATCTTGCAAGCTGGGCACATGCTTAACCTTATGCCCACCAACAGTCCCACTGAGTTCACCTCTCTGGGAAAGTCAGTGGATTTATTTAAGAAAACTAGCAAGTCCCTTTTCTTTAAGGAGGGTACAGCTGCCTGTATCTGGTGTGTCAGTCACAGCCTTGTTAAAAAGAACCAGGTCACTAGAGACAGAATTTGCTTTGGAGAGGGAACTAAAGTATGGATACCAACTTGCAGCTGATCTGAAGTCACTTAAAATACCTATGTTGGAAAACTCAGACTTGAAATTTCAACCTAAGCCATGCAGGATAGGTACAGACATTCAAAAAGCCTGAGTCAGAATTGATCTAAGTTAGGTGGTTTTCTCTAAGCATTGTTGTTTAGACCAGTAGCGAACATAACACACATTCACTCTTTGGTGGGGGCAATCTTAGACCGGGGTCTGCCATTTTTAATCCAGTATACGTGTGCCGAACTTCTGTTCTGTTACAGGTATAAACCAGTTTCTGATGACTGATATCAGTAAAAGTGTAATTGTAATGTCTTACCTAGCCAAAATGTCTAGAGCAGATATTTCTGGTGCTTTCTCAGCTTGTTTTTGGTGAAGCTTGAGAAACCACAAGAACAGTGTCTATCCACAAGGGTCAGGCAAAACATTACCTTACAAAACAAGGCTGCAACCAAGACACAACACACTGACAGCTACTCCCTCAATATAAGAAGCACTCACTAGTTTTCCCAAATAAACCCACTGATTTTACTAGATTGTTTCACTCATTTTCTCAAACAAATCCACTGATTTTACTAAATTAATCAAAAACTGACTAAAAGAATCAGTTTAAATAAAGCACAGGTCCTAAGCTGCCCACAAAGAATGGCCAAGTATCTGCATGATGGGAAGCCAACTTCCCAACTTCATCTGTTGATCTGATCTTGAAACCGAGGCCAGTGTGGTTTGTGGCTTGGTGGAAAACTGGTAATATGTCCAACCACGAGCACCACTGCACCATCCGAGCACCATGGAGAAGACCCACACTTCTTCTTCCCAAACAAACTGAACTAAACACAACCAGCAGCAATACACACACGCCTCAGGTATTCAACAACCTAAAAAGTGACATGTGAATGGACAGAGATAAGAATCTCCTGGTTTAGTCCCAAATGCATAAAGAACAGACAAGACAACTGACAAAGCTTTCAGAGGAAATCACAGAATCCTAGACAACAAGGACTGGAAGGGACCTCAGGAGGCCACATCTAGTCCACCCCCCTGCTCAAAGCAGGACCAGCCCCAGCTCCATCATCCCATGCAGGGTTTTCTCTAACCAGGTCTTAAAAACCTCCAAGGGTGGAGATTTCAAGTCAGAACTGCTCAGTGTTATGCCCTGGGGCAGAGGCAGCAGCCAGAGGTTTGCTGTTATATAGGGGGGGTGTCGCCTCCTCTTTTTGCTGATGACATGGGTTGAACAGCCAAAAAACTCCCCATGACTTACAAGGAGGTGACAGCTCCCTAACACAGTGAGCCTCTGGCTGCTCCTGTACGATGACCTGGTGCTGCTTTGCTGCTCCTTGCTTACACTGGGCAGAAGGGAGAGGGTGCTGGTAGCAAGTTCCCTATGGGCTATGCTCCCACTTGGGCCTCCCCTCCACAACTGGCAGGCCAGGCCAAAATACAGCAATGCTGACTGAATGTGCACATTTTTATTCAAGTTCCTCCCGCAGCACCCCTCAAATTGAGATTCAAGTGGCATCTGTACACCACAGCAACAGGAATCATGTTAGCCTGGAGTGCGCTAAGTGAGCACCTAAATGCCCACCCCACAAGTGGTGTGCCCCAAACTCGTTGGCCACTCTAGGCACACACAGAAGAACAGCAATTCATTGTAACTCATGGCACTTCACAGGAAGCACCATTAGTTATAATGCTGCCCTGGATCCAACAGACATTCGCTGTTGTGTCCCAGGGGGTGGGGGATTGAGTGGCTGTTTACAGAGGCTGCAGCTGCTCTCTCCTAGCAATCTCCCTTTCCCCTCCCAGCCCATTTGCAGAATGGGAATGGGGAAAGGGAGCAAAGGGAGCTCATTCTGGAGGTTGCCCAGCCAGGGCTAGAGATTGGGATGGGTGGATTGGAGCCCCCCTGATGTAAAGGGGGTGCCAATCCAACCCCCCCTCCCTCCAGCACTGGCTGAAAAAGCTACAGACCGAACTCCATCTGCTCCCTTCCCCCTTTCCCATTTTGAAGACAGTGCAGGGGGCAGGATTCAGCTATGTCAGCCCAGTCCTGATCCCAGCACATGCAGATAAAAGTTATTGAGGGTGCTCTACTTTGGAGGACCTTCATCTATAACCTCATGCAATGAGTGTTCAGATTGTTGTGGGATCAGGCCATTTTAAACCACTCTGCAGCAATGCACTTGTGTTTAGTCATAGTTATAGGGCACTTTTAGGGACCACATGGGGTAAAATTGTTGCTTCTGTCTGCACCTGCTGTGACTAGAAGGCAACCAGCTCCCATCTCTCCTGGCCCCATACAAAGTATTAGGAGCAAGCACTGCAGGCAGATGCTCCGAGCTGTCAGCACCCTGGATGTGCCATTCCTGTGCACAGCAAATACAATTAAAGGATAAAATATTGATTAGGCGACAGCCAACCAGAGTGGAAAATTAGTAAAATCTGGTCCAGTGCCTGCAACAAGCTGAGTTAAACCCGAAGTCAGCACCATCATACACTGCAATTTCTAACTCTGCTCCTCCAGCAGTTTAAAGGCTACATTGGTACTTTGAAGCAGGCTGGGGAAGGTTCATTTAGAAATTCCACATCAGCAGATTAAAAGCCTGTTTCTCTGAGTGAGCAATTTTCTTTTTTTTTTCCAGGCCAGAAGAGAAAAGTAAGTAAAAGTTTGTCATTTATTAACCAAAAAACTAAAACAAAGCAAAGCAAAGCAAAAAAACCACACTGACTTCAAAGGGGACTCAGCCATTTGCAATATATTTTAATAGAGCAGTGCCAAGTATTCTTGGCACTGAAGACACAAAAACAAACGGACAAAAATATAGGAATTAAACTAATTCTTTAGGCTCAGATAAGTGCCTTTCCTGCACAAGAGCTCTAACAGATCGGCATTGTCCTTTATTTAATCAAGAATCAGGCACATCAAAGGGGTTGCAAGTCTGGGCTTCCCTATGCAACTCTACCTGGCCACAGCGTCCCGGAGCTGAGATTCATTTTGACATCCATTCAGATCTAAAAACGCCAGCAGAGCTGCTAATTAGCTCCAATAAAGGTGCTGATTTTTATTTTCCAAGCACGTGCCAATTTAGGAAGTAGGCTGAAGCCATTAATAATTTTGCTGCTGATCAGGGCCAAATTCAAAACTGTGTTCTCAAGGTGCTGCATGCTTTTATGAATCTCTTTCATCTCTCCCTCCCCCCATTAAATCCACATTTGAATAGGCATATCTAAAAGCTAATCTTTTCCCTTATTCAGATGCAACTTCTCTTTCTATGAATGGGATTTATACACATGCATCATAGAAATAGATTCCTTAATGGTCTTTATTAAAGCCACAAAAAAGCACATTTAAGGCCATATCTCAGCTTTTTTACTCACTAGATAATGCCAGCTTAGTTATTAGAGACATCTACTATCAGCGAATGATGCATGCAGTCTCCTGCAGCAGAATTTATACAGGAAGGACCTTATTCAGTCTCCCTTTCGCATGCGTTAGCCGGTGAGTACTGCTAATTTGCAACAGCACATGGGTGATTATAATCTCCCCCGCCACGCTAAGAAAAGGGCAGAATTTTCCTGCTTTTGAATCAATTCCTAAACTTCTTTGAACACAGACTCCAGTGACATTGCTATATAATTTTATATATTCTTTTTTTCTACACTTATTAAATAAAATGAGGATCCAGAAAGCATCATGATGAGGTCTGAGGGAGAACATAAGACAGACTTTTCATCTCTATTTTGGTGGATGAAGTCCTGAGGCTATGCAACTCAATGAGAATTTTGCCTTGATTTCAACAGGGGCCGGGTTTCATCAAAGCTGTTTATCGACCTGAAATTTTTACCCTCCGATGGCTGCTTAGGTGTCTGGACAAAACCATTTCGTGGGCTCACTCCAGCTCTGGATGGAGATACTTCTCCCCCCTCCCTAGCATATGCAGAGGCAATACTGCAGACAGAACAACTACTGCCTGGACAGATCAACGGAGCTACCCTCTCCCATGGCTGGAAACTATCCCTGTCATTGAAGCAGCACCGGTGCTCCACATATTGTAACTACCCTATCGAGAGAAGCCTCATTTCCAGAACCATTCACCCAGCTCCTTTATTGAGCAATGCATTGATAGTGAAAGGTAGGCTGACAAAAAGAAAGCAACTTAAGATCTTCAGAATCAGGGAGCAATGCAGCAGATGGACCTGGGCAGGTGTGCTATCAATCACGTCTCCTACACCGTAGCTAGATATATAAATCATGAAGGCCCAATCTGAAACTCGTTCACGTCAATGGGATTCCTTTTCTCGGCTGCCACGGGCTTGGACTTGGACCTTGATTTATTATTAACGCATCGCACCTGATTTTCAGCAAACAAGTTTAAAATTTTTGCCGGGGTTCAGTGATCTATAGTTGAAACAAAGAAGCACCGAGACTGCTCACGGTACCCGAGGGCTGGTTTTCATCCTCCTTGTGGCTGAAAAATAGCAGTAATACTGGTGGGCCATCCATAGCAGAGATTTGTTCCCTTTGCAGCTCTATCTTTGCACGTGTAATTGAACATGAGGTGTGGGCAATAAAAAGTATGTTTCTTATCGCTAGCTGCAGTTTCCATCTTTATGATTTAGTTTGCCAAGGGAGCACCTACAGCTGAGTACACAGCCAAGATGCTTACTGAGAGTTATCACTACCTGGATATTTTGTCAGTTATTGCAACCCCGACTAAATAGATTTGGACTCCTGTTTAATAAGGTCTGCGCTTTTATTATCCAGTCCAGAAAGAAGCAGTAGGAAACCCCTTCTCTCCTCTCTTTGCACATCCCATCTAAACAAATGATTATCACGTCTATGCCATCTATTCTGCATCCCCCTATCACATTGAAAACAAGCTTTTTTTTCCCCATTGTGCTTCAAAACCTAGATGGGCAAAGGGGGATTTTCATTGTGCTTTTGAAACCTAGATGGGCAAAGGGGGATGGACATGACCATGAAGTGGTCAGCCAAGAATAGTTTATGGAGCTTCGACAATAGTTCAGACTGACCCTGGAGTGGAAGGTCTGGTTGGTTCAAGTTTTATTTCAATCAACTTGCCCTTTCCTACAGTAGAAAGGTACTGCACACATTTCTGCTGAAAAAAAAACATGTGTTCACCATGTCATGGAAAAATTGCTTCTGTTTTTAAAAAAAATACTGCTTCTAGATGAGGCTCTGACCAAGACTGGAGATGTCAAAATAGCATGGTAAAAAGAAGAGTGGCTTTGATCAAACACAAAGCAGGAGGAGGGAGGCAACTATCATGTGAAAACACCCTTTCTTGCAAGTTTATTAATCTAATTGTGCAGGGCTGTGCGATTCAGGGCTGGTGCTGATTAAATGACCAAACATTTACCCAAATAACACTGCTGAATTCATAGCCTTCCCCCACTCATTTATATTCCTTCTCCTCCTACATTATTTATTAATGACCCTTTGCCCACAGAACCAGAGGTTCTTGGAGAGCACAAGCAGCTTTGCCTTGGGGATTAGTCAGCTGTTTGGGATGCTGGGGAAGAGATGTGTCCTGCAGCCAAAATTAGCTCTCGATCCAACTCGTGCTGACTTAACAACTTCGGAGACAACAAAGAGTCGCATTATTCAACTGTAAGCTTTAATGCAACCTAGCGCATTTATATTGGCCACAAATTGATTGAAAGCAGGTTCAGGCTTGATATCAGGAGGTGTTACTTTACGGTGAGGGCTGCCAGGCTCTGGAATGGGCTCCCAAGGGAGGTGGTGCTCTCCCCTACCTTGGGGGGTCTTCAAGAGGAGTTTGGATAGAGATCTGGCTGGGTAGTATGATCTCAGCACTCGTTACAGGGGGTCGGACCTGGTGATCTGTTCAGGTCCTTTCCGACCCTAGAAGCCCTAGAAACTATATGTTACAAAATTAATACAGGTCTGAAGGAACCCAGGGGCCACAGGTGGAAACAACATGCCACCCTCTCGTTGTGTACTTGCAAAACAATAATTAATGCAAAGCTAATTCTTCAAATGAATAGAAGCGACAGCAGATAAAGATACTTACGTAAGTGGGGATTGACTGGAGCTGGAAGACAAAAAGGAGAGATCCAAATTAGTGTCATTTGAAAGCATTCGTATGACCAAGTCCCCTTTCTATCTTATACCTCCCTATGGGGTCAACTGTATCCATCTCAGAGCCTGGATCATTGCACACTGTGAGGGTGAGCAGCACAGGTAGCTTCCTTCTGGATCAAGAGGGCTTTGCTTCTCACCTGCCAAAAGTATCAGTGCTGGGTGGTAGGAGCTATTCCTTTCCTTCCCAGGGTGAGCATGCTCCTTTCACAGATGCCGAAGCAAAATGGCAATTTCAGGCATCAAACCTAGATATAGCCATCATTATACTCTAGAGAAGGAAGGAGCCAACTGCAGGCCACCATCTTGGTGCAAAGTCTATCGAAGATGAAGCCAACACATCACAGGACAACAGTATGTCTCACCAAATCAGTCCCTGCATAAGTTTTCTTCCTCATTTAGCATCTGCTTCTAGCAGTACATCAGCTGTCTTTAGGGCAGAGGATTTTGTTTGTAATAAATACGTTCTCCCGGATTCAAAAATGAAGGTATGTAAAATGTCAAGACCTATTACTTCAACCTAAATCAAGCGACCAAATGCTATTTTGTTGCAGGCTCTTTGAGAGATGATATTATGGCTGAAATAACAAAAGTGCTGTTTGTTGGTACAGCACAGCAAATGAGAGTCTCAGGAAATAATGAGAATTTGTGTCTTTCCAAAAATGCCAATATAATTGTCAAACAAAAGAAGGAATATGTAGATTTGTTTAAAGTAAAAGACACTGTGATGTAAATGAGGCATTCTGTTCTAAAATTATGCATGCAATACTGGCACGTACATTATTTTTCAGTAGTTATGTTATATATCTGTCATCGCAAGGCTGAAGGGTTTACAACCACTGGCCAAGAAATAAATTAAACGCATTTCTGAACTGCACGATTGAAATCTCATCTAGGAGACTAGTATGCATATCACAGAAGGATTATTAGTCTGGAAGGGGAAAAAGAGTTATTTTATAAAACATTTACAGTAATTATTCTACTCATCTATACACATTGTAGGACAGGAAGGCCCAATGATTCTGAGTCTCTGAGAACGTCAGATAAAGCATGGTTTTCATTTGACAGATCCTTGGCCGACCTGCTATGAATTCCCTTCCCTCCCTGACTTCGTTAATCTGCAAAACTATTTGCTGTCATGATTTAGTCCTTAATTCAAGCCATTTTATGTGTGAAGTTAATCAAGCAAGAGAGAGAGAAAGCTGACACATTTATGGCTAAATTGTGGCATTTTACTTAGAATGAAGAAGTTTGCCACTGTGCAGAAAGCTGGGGCCAGTACTATGCATCCATTAAGACAGTCAAAATGAGGCGCAAGTGGCTTGTGAGCTGAAACGCTGTGCCCATAGCCCTTACTCAGGAGAGCGCTGCTCCTGGGGGACTGTAGGAGCAAGGCTACAATCAGAATGGTGCAATTACCTGCCAGATCCTGCCTGACTAACCTGGTCTCTTTTTATGAACTGGTCACAAAGTGCTTAGATGCAGGAGTAGAAGTAGACATGATTTACCTGGATTTTAAACAGGCTTTTGACACAGTGTCACACCCAATTCTTACGACTAAACTGAGTAGCTGTGATGTGGATTTTTTCACAGTAAGGTGGGGGAAAAACTGGCTTATGGGATGCACCCAGAGAGTGGTGGTGGATGGGGAGGTTTCTCCCTGGCAGGATGTGGGCAGTGGGCTCCTGCAAGGCTCTGTCCTTAGACCAGTACTGTTTAATGTCTTCATCAGAGATTTGGATGAAGGTGTTGAAAGCACCCTGTCCAAATTTGCAGATGACACGAAACCATGGGGCATAGTAAACACACTGGAGGGCAGGGAGCGAATTCAGGCAGATTTGGACAGACTGGGGAAGTGGGCAGATCAGAATAGGATGCAATTCAAGAAGGACAAATGCAAGGTGCTGCACCTGGGGAGAAAGACTCTCCAACACACCTATAGACTGGAGGGTACCAGTCTGAGCACCACGACCGTGGGAAGAGATCTCGGAGTCCTGGTTGATGCAAAAATGAACATGAGACGCCAATATGACGAGGCAATAAGCAGGGCTAACCACACTCTGTCTTGCATCAGCAGGAGCATCACGAGCAGGTCTAGGGAAGTGATAATTCTCCTCTATGCGGCACTGGTGAGGCCGCAGATGGAGTACCGCATCCAATTCTGGGTGCCGCACTTCAAGAGGGATGTAGATAACCTTGAGAGGGTTCAGAGAAGGGCTGCTCGTATCGTGAAGGGCCTGCAGGTAAGGCCCTATGAAGACAGACTGAGGGACCTAACTCTCTTCAGCCTCCGCAAGAGAAGGCTGAGAGGAGATCTTGTGGCTGGCTACAAACTCATCAGGGGATACTGGACACTCTGTTTACCAGGGCACCCCTCGGGGTTGCCAGAAATAATGGCCACAAACTGAAGGAAAATAGACTGAGATTGGTCATAAGGAAGAACTTCTTTACAGTAAGGGTTGCCAAAATCTGGAATGGGCTTCCAAGGGAGGTGGTGCTCTCCCCTACCTTGGAGATGTTCAAGAGGAGGTTAGATAGGCATCTGGCTGGGGTTACTTAACCCCACCGCTCTTTCCTGCCTGGAGCAGGGAGTCAGACCCAATGATCTGCCAGGTCCCTTTCGACCCTAGAAATCTATGAATCAATGAAATATTGGCCATCTAATTCTTTCCCCAGCTAAAAGCAGGATAGCTGCTCTAGTGCAGCTGGAGAAAGGCAGGCATCTGTACTGTAACCCCATTGTTCAAAACAGGCTTTGTTCCATGTTTTGTTGCCCGCATGCACTGTTTTATTTATGGGCACAAACATTTCACATGTGACCTTCATTCACAAACTCCACTTCGGTCTGAAGTTTTAAAAAGATCGCTCATTTAACAGCTCTGCTGCTTTATCTGACTTTATCCAGAAGAATGATCAGCAATTTGCCCCAGTGTAATTTTCCAAAGAAACTTAGTCATTACATTATATTAGATACCTCATAGCATTCACTAACAAATTACCTTTCATTCTCCAAGAAACATTCATTTTGTGCACTTCTTGAGTGGCTGAACTTGGAATTAGCTGAAATTGCTGGAAACTGCATTTACTGATGCTTGCTTTGTAACCTCACAGAGAGGCTTTTATAGAAACTATCATTAATGGGTAACCTTGAGCCATGCTTTTCAGATTGTTCACAGTACAGCCAAAAAAAAAAAAAAGGCTGGGGGTCATGAAAACTTCATCTTGCATTGACTGACAAAAGCAGAATAACAAATGAAACCACGGTTAGGCTAAACTTACGTATGCATCATGAACTGACAAAAAACCCCCCACTTAGCTAGACAATGCAGCAAGCAGGTATAAAACAGGGCCACATGATTCTCAAATTCTCATTCCCGAAAGGGAAAGTTGCTGTACGGGCCACAGGTAGCAAGTAAAATTAGCCATGAAGGGAAACAAATGGATGACTGAAGGGCTAAATTCCCAAGGTTGCGTGTGAATGATCTAGAAAATCTCTAAAGCTGAGAGTTATCGCCATTCGAGTCCATTCTCCCTGATATGACTGCTCAATTTGAAATGCACTCTCAGAACAGAAAGCAGAAGGATAACGTTACTGGATTCTCCTACGTCCACTGCACTTGGTCATCTAGGCCGCGTGTAGACAAAATCACAGGCGTGTGTGCACATTTTAAAGTGGGCTAAACGCTTTTGTACCACTTTAATAGTGTCGGTCTTTGCACGCCTCAGCGGCATATTGCGCATTAATTCCAGCCACTGTAGAAAATGCCCCTTAAATGACTTGGGGTGCAGCAAACTTGAACTCCTCTGAGGAGTTTTAGTTTGCTGCCTCTACAGCCATGGAGCGAAGCACCGGGCTCCGTGCAGCTCCGGGGCTCTGCAGGAAGCCCTGCGGGCAGCCTGGCAGCAGCCCGGGATAGAAACTCCACCCAAGAAAAGTGGCAAGCTAAACCCACTGCTTCAGTTTAGGGCCCCCGTTTAGTCTACACATGCTCTTAGATGCCTCCCCACTCAGAGCCATGGGGGTCAAACCTCACTATAGCCTCACAATTTTAGGATGGTGATCCATGCTCTTGTACAGTGTACCGCACCAGGCTTGTATTTCTGTACTGGGAAGGCGACAAAGCTGTTACAGCATCTTATTATAAGTTCCAGCTGTAAGAGGTCAAGGCCATGATCAGGCTTCTTTAGGGGCCATTAGACTTGGAAGATCCTTTGACCCCATCTCTATATTTTCAACTCTTTTTTTCAGATTTGATCTCAATTTCAGTCTGACAAATTCTTCCAAGTCTAAAAACCCAGTTAAATAACAGTTAAGGTAGGCTTCAAAACTCCCAAGGAGAGCACAACACATTACATGTCTCATTCAAAAACACCAAACAAACCAAACACTGGTCTTGGATGGTCATAGCCGGGACTATTAAATATACAGGATGGATTGGCTGCTGAACTAACATATGTTTTAGTACTGGCAACTGAATAGCGCCGCAAGTCCTCAGTCATGGCTGGGGTCCCTCTGTGCTAGGCACTGTACATACACATGGTGAGAGAGCTATTTCTCTGAACAGTTTATGTTCTAAATAGTCAAAAAGTATCTTGATGCCCACTCAAAAAATGCCTTGAAACCAACCTTGCTGGGGTCATTTGATCCCAGCAGTCTTTCCTGTCCAAGTGCAGGGGGGGCTGGACCTGATGATCTGTAAGGTCTCTTCCAGCCTCTAACAACTATGAAACTATGAAAGACAAAGAAAGAAGGGCAGAAAGGAACAATGAAGCAGATTAAGCTCTGCTTAATTGTTCAAACCTACTTTAACACTTGCCAATAACTCACCCCTGTATCCAGGAAATGTCTGTTCATCCAAAAAATAAAAGGCCTTTAACTTGTACAGCCCCATATCTGCCCTTCAGTCTTACTTTCCAAGAGCCTGATCTTGCTACTTAATCTTTGCAGCTGTGCAGTCATCTAGGGTCTGCTTTGACTCCAAAAACTACCCCTTAATAGTTACATTCTGTACTACTTAGTTGAAACCAGAGCTTTTTTGGAAAACCTTTAGCATTTCCTGAATGCAAGTTGTAGTATATGGCGAGTGCCTGGGTTTGTATGGTGCACCCTACCTGTTCTAGACAGTTGTACTAGGACTCCGTTCTAGATACTCTAAATAACTGTGCCTGCTAGTTTGGATTAGGGAGAAGCAGCTTAATTTTGAAAATAATTGCTGCTTAATTACTTTTTAATAGAAAAAAAGTGCATTTTCAGGTTCTAATTGGAGAAGCTGAAGGTTCAGAGGTTTAACAGTCACCTTGTTTCAAACAGGCCTAGGCGGATTTATGTGAAATGATTCTGATTATTTTTTAAATTGTTACGACATGACATATGGGTGCCGCACTGGCTTACAAAATAGCTATTAGCGCTACTCAGATTGATCTGATTGTGTTTACTTGGCAGATGGAGTGGTCCCTAGCAGAAGAACATATGCATCAACTAAGCGATTTGTCAAGCAGCGCTTAGTTGTAATTATGATGTCATATCTCCTGTGATGATTTTTCTTTTCTCCACACTTTAAGTCCCTGTAATACAGAGGATGATCATTCTGGAAAGCTACAGGCTTCGTTACAGGACGTTCACACTGCTTGCATCTCTTTAATTAGGGAAACCAAGACATGAGTATATTTTAGTTTCTATAACTCTTTAATTTGGTAAGGCAGGATATGGCTTTAAAGAGCTCATTACTGAGATTTGCCTAGTTTCATCGTTTCCTACAAAACACCCTATTTGGATGTTTTGATCATCTGATTTGGGACAATTATTAGAACAGCTTCCTCTGGATGAGCTCACTGAACGACATATGCTTTGCATTTCAGCAATTTAAGTGTTAGTCTTCAGCTGTTGGGTCTTATTTTCAGCACAGCGCACACTGCAACACTCCTGCATTGAAATAACTCAATATAACTGGCACAAGCTATAACAATCAGTGGAATACTGTCAGATCCCAATGCATTCACTATATCCAAGAGAAACGGTGACTCATCTTCCACAGTTGCCTACTAAATGTGCATTTTTGCCCCTATATTTAAAACTAGTTTAATATTTCAAACAGCTGGAGATTTGGTCCTAAATCCCAAATTTCTCCAAATCTCTTAAACTGCCCTAACTTATTATAAATGTTCAAGTATGCCAATAGATAGCCAAATTTCACACTTCAAGAACAATGTAGAAAGAAGCTGAAAATAAGGGGTTTTAATTCATGTCTTACCAGAAGAGTTACCAGAATTATTTCATAATGAAATACAGAAAACTCTTAAACGGTCTTAAGAGATTAAATAGCTCAAAAACAGGCTTATACTTTTATTTTTTATGACCCTGAATTTGGAATGGAAAATTTGGGAAAATGTTGTCAGTTGATCTATGAGCCTCGCGGAAGAAATCAGCTGTTCTGACTAGCAATAGCCACAAAAAATCCGAAATGTGATGGAAATTTCTTACTGATCCTAGAAAATATTCCAATGATCCTTCAAAGGTGAAATTCATTCCTGTGCACAGTCCATATGTGGCTGATGTACTAAGTAAGGCAAATTTATGTCCTCAAGCAAGATGATAAATGGTGCTCAACCCTTCTACTCCTCACTGGTTCACAAATGAATGTCACCTGTTGCACCTGGCTCAGTTAAAAAGAAAGATGCTGCATGAGCTTCTAGCCTCTCTAATTTGAACGTGTCTAATCCACATCAGATTCTGGGTTAAAAATAATTGAGTAGAAATGCAATTAGCCAAATGCCTTTATCAGAAACTAAGGCATTAGCATGCCCAATGTGAGATTTTGCAATACGAATCTGCCAATAATACATTAGTGCCAGAACTAAATCCGCACCGTATTCAATTAAGAAATATCCATAGATGTAGCACAAGAAATGTAGCACTGCTGGAATCTGGGGATATGTTCATCTTGGAGACTGAGTACAAGTCAACATTAATTTGATATAAAAATAATAATAATGATATAACCCTCTAGATATTCACTGAGAATGTGTCAGGAGCTGGCCTGGAGCCCGAAAAACCACACCCTTGAGCTGAAGAATTGTTTGCAAATACTTATCCTAGTTCTCCCGTCCAGCACTATTCACTCTGATTTTATTTTCTTTCCTGGATAAATATTTATAATTACCACCCATATTTATGTGGGCTTGCTGGCATGAAATGTATCCCGCCAGCCTATTAGCCACATTTCTAGGAATCCAGCACTTCAGCATTATAAATATATAATTCCCCTCTAGAGTAATGTCTGTGATCTCATTTTATGTCTGGAGCAATAATGCCCTGAAAATAAGGCTTCATAATGGGTGCGCTGACACGATCATGAAAAAGGTGCTAAGATACAACCCATATTTTTAGAGCAGAAAACTAAAATATCTAAAATCCTTCTTTAAAGGAAAGTGGCCTGAGAGTTTTCCTACCTACTGACTTCTGGATCAGAATCTTTAAAGCTACCGCGTTGCTGCTGTCAGCACCGGCTATCATCAAATCTCACTGGAAAAGCGTCCCTCTGTTTGACATGTAATTCAAATCCCTTATTTTCTTCTGGATGGTTTGATTCGGTAGAAGGTCCTTCATCAACACACTTGAAACACATGTGTAGTTCTTTAAAATCTGTCCACGTGACAGATCTCAGACCAAAATTCACTATGGCAGAAATGCACTTTTTTACACCGCAGGAAGGTTTTCTGCTAGCCAAGGGCTGGATGTTTCAGGTGATGTAACAAGTCACCGAAACCCCAATTTGAGCCAGTGAGCTAGTGGGTACTCAGTGTAACACGTGGCCATTGCTGCCAGCTGAGCTGGTGTCTTGTGGTCTCTGACGAACGAGCACCACCACACAAGCCAAAGAGGAGCACGGCTAAGTATGGCACAAACTGGAGGTTGCTTCTTGCACGTCATCAGGATGGAAAGAATGAGAATGGGAAGGGTGCTAAATGGGGATTTGGGGCATCTGACTTCATTTCTTCCTGAGATACTGGGTAATCAGGGTTGGGTATTTAGGCACTTAGATCCTGTTGAGACATCAAACTCTCAGTAGTAATTTCCTGCTATGGAAGATAGTTGCGGTGCTACAATACCAAGAGAGATGGGTCTGTCTAAGTAGGAAGGTTACACTTCCTCCGTATTGACTATAGATATTTTCCCCTTTGTAAAATGATGCTTCTCCTTGGATTTTTGGAGTCAGATGAGGAGTAGGGGAATGAGCAATTTCCCATGACTTCTTAAACAACTATTTCTTCTTTCTACCTACTTTGATTAGTGTGTGCTTTGGGATGCCAATACTTGCACCCTGGGAAATACAAAATCCTGCCGTTCAGCTGACATTATGCTGTCCTCAAGTGGAAAGTACCAATATGTGCTTGGAGGATCAATAGTGACTGTTATATCATGTCATTTTTTCTTGATATGAATACAATAAAATAAATTATTCATGTTGGGATTGAGCAGGGCTGAGCTAATAATTGAGCATGAATAATTGATTTCATAAAAGTCTCTTTTTGGTCTCAATTTATGCATAACCAGCTTATAATTTTCTCAGATTTGTTCATTGTTTGAAAGTATTTGACAATTACTTTCCATGAGTGATCTTTGGCTCGCGGACTTCCTATGAAGTGTATGCTATAATTGATATCCAAATACATGCTCTCCTAGAGTTTTATATAACACTAATCACTCTAGTATCTAGGTGTTTCAGTAGTTATGAACTATCCTGGTAACTTGTGATTTGACCAGCATGATACACGAGTTCTGTGGGGGCAAGGATAACAGAGAATCAGGCTTCCCATATAAATACTTCCATTTACAACATCACTAGTTGCATTTCTATAGATAGCCTCTAACATGATTTGAATTTCCCTTTTCTTCTAACAATTCGACCAAGCATTGGTCCAGTTCCAAAGTAAGAACTGACCTAAGACTGACTTATACAATCACAGACAGCGAGGGCTGGAAGGATGCTCAGGAGGTCACATCTAGTCCAACCCCTGCTCCAAGCAGGACCAGCCCCAACTACATCATCCCAGCCAAGGCTTTGTCTACCCAGGTGTTAAACACCTCCAAGGATGGAGACTGCACCACCTCTCTGGGTACCCTGGTCCAATGTTTCACCACCCTCCTAGTGAGAAAGTTTTTCCTAATATCCAACCTCAACTTCCCTTGCTGCAACTTGAGCCCATTGCTCCTTTTCCTGTCATCTGCCCTCACTGAGACCAGTCCAGCTCCATCCTCTTTGCAGCCCCCCTGCAGGGAGGTGAAGGCTGCTATTCAATCCCCCCTCAGCCAGAAACCCCTTTGGAAGCATGGCTCACCCATTATGGTATTTGCAGAAGATAAATGCAAAAGGGAAACAAAATGAAACAAAGCAAAGACTCAACAGAAAAGGTCAAAATAGGAAAACATAACATAAAAATCCAAATCAAATTTCATCAAAATAAAACACTTGATCAACCAAAATTAATTTCTTGTTTTCTAGTTTTTTGCTGCATGGTGAATTTCCTGTTTTTATTTTGTTCCATATCAGGATGGGAAAAAAAAAGGAAAATATGGATATCACAGGAAATAGAAAATGCCAGGACTGTACAGTGCTACTGAAAACACCAGGCTCTGCCTAGGTACAAAGTTCTGCTTGTGGAGATATAATTAAAGGATAAGGAAATAAAACAAGTTACAGGCTCTGCGGGTCTGCTCTTAACTGCACGATAATTGTTGCATTTAACTGTGTACTTTATTTTCTAACTAACAGGACTCTTTCAACAGCAAAATCTTCTTACCACTATACTTGATGACACGAATGGTCGAATCTCCCTCCCCAAATCTGGTGATAGGAGTCAGTCGGACTTCATAGGCTTCTGGCTTGATCAGCTCTGTCAGGTTGTATGTAATTAATTCTCCTTTCTGAATGTTCCCATTCACTGTAATCTCCTGCTCCCACCAACGCTGCTGCCCAGCCTGCAATCAAAGAACAATGCAAGGATTAAAACTTTTTGCCCAGGCTCCACCCTTTGATCTTGGATCAACACTGCAATGGTAGGCAGAAGTGCTGTGCTGTGACTAGACTTCTTTAACATACAGCTTAGCATGGGCTGTGCCATTTCCTTGATCAGCTAAGAACCCACAATCCTTCCTATGCAGCTTCCCCATGAAAGCCATTTGTATAATTAATGTATACCATGCTGAAAATCCTAAGAACCAATGGTTCCTACAGTCTGTAATCTGGGGTAGAAAATTTTAATGTGCATTAGGAAGAGGCCTAAATTAAGCAGCCCAGGCTAGATTTTAAAAGGCATTTAGGCACCTAAAGTTTCACATATGTACCCAAGAACATTACACAATCTCTCTAGGCACCTCTCAGGGTCCTTAAGTGTCTAGCACTTTTGAAAATATGGTCATAAATTTTAAATCCAGCTGAGAGAATGAATTAGTTTGGTAGACAACTGTTGATCCTCTGGACCATGGTGTAGACATACGAGGTCTAGTCAGGTGCCTGATGAATATGCTTGTATGGAGTCCCGCGACCATTGCACCAAGACCTTCAATGCATACACCTAGGCAAGAGTATGGAGGAGCAGAGGCTGCCCTAGACTTACCATCCCCACTTCAGACCATTGAGACAGGATCCAAAGGCCAGACTGAGTCCAGACATTCAGGGCCTCAATGGCTGTAGCGTCTGCCAGAGCAGCAGATTAGAACTGCTGGTGACTGCCCAACACCGCAGCGAGGGCACGTTTCTGTTAGGGTGATGGCCCTTGGCCTTTGGGTACCCACAAGGCAATGGGAGCTAGGGTTTTGAGGCACCCTATACTCCCCTTGCTCTGGAGGTTGCAACGTTGTGGTGTTTTATACGAGCTACCCCACCATGAGCAGCCCCATCATGTTGCCACCAGGCCGTCTGGTTGGATGCAGCTTACAGTCATACCCAGCAGCTCAGTGAGGTTGATGAATGTATGAAATGCAGCTTCCTTTAGGACCTGGCCGCACAGCTGACATACACAGAGCTCCTATATCTGTAGGGCCCGTTGGCTCGCAATGGCCTTCCCAAGTGTGGCTGTTGTGCACACACAGACCTTTTCCACGGCCATGTAAAAAGACACCCTTCTGCCAGGTTGCCCAACTTCTTGTGTGAATTTAGATCCTAGAGTTGCTAAACCTCCCGGATTGGCCAGGAGTCTACCAGAATTGGCATCGATCTCCCGGTGACTATTGAAAACAATCTGGGAGATTGATATCATGAATGGGGTTAACAGTAATTAATGACATTATGTTATGTTGGGGGAAAAAAAATAAATTTCCCGGAATAGCTTCAGTCAGAGTTGGCAACCCTATTAGAGCCGTATCATGTGACTGGATGCGGTGGCAAAATTAAGTGCTTTCAGAGCTCACATTGCTGCGGCAGAGCGAGCTTGGGCTTGTTTCCTCCTAGTCAACAGAGCTGTTCACTCAGCTCCAATCAGTTACACTTCTTCATCCCTATTAAAGGCAATGAGGTTGCACATATGTCACTTGGGACATAATTTGAAGATAATGAGAATGTACAGGAGTAACGGAGAAGGCGCTATGGCTCCCAGGCTTTTACCACTTTTGTTGACGAGCGAGAAGGAAATAACCAGTCATTAACAGCCCCGCTGCACAATTATTAACAGCTCAAGTAGCCTCAAAGATGGATGGCTTGAAAAGAACAATGAAAAGTCAATACGAAGCAAACAAGGAGCCTGTTTTATTAAAAAATAGGGTATAAAGGTATTTTTATGTCTTGGAGGCTGTGCAGTATTTTCAACAGCTAAATCAATAAACTTTGTTTTATTCCGGCAGTTGACCAAGAAATGAAAAAAAATCTAATTAGAACGAAAGTGTCACACGAAGTGAGAGGTACATTGTCTCCTCCACACTTCAAATGCTTTATGAATGGCCAGGGATACTCAAAACGTAGGCACTTTGGGCAGCACAGTTACTTAACGTTTCAACCGTACCTGAAGATACATTGGCTTATTACTGGCACGTTGTCCAGGACACAAAGGAAGCAAACTCATTAAATATTTACCACACATCCCAAGGGAACTCAGTAGGTGTTAAAATGCGATGCTCTCCACAACTGATTATACAGGCCTGCTGCATTGATGACATTATTTATTACAACCTCCTTAATACAGAGCTTCATGTCTATTAAAAAGCAGCAACAAAAAAAAACTCCCTGTTTCTCTGGATCTTTAATTTGAATCTGCGATAGATGTAAACACTTAGTTATGTGGGGAAATTACCCACTAAACGAGTCACCTTTAACCCCAGGGAAGGAGCTGCATACCAATATTGAAAGTGATTGCTGGGAAGTCTGAACTTGCATGAAGGGCAAAGAAATGAGGGCTGTTGTGTTAATGAACCTATTACACACACACGCACACACACACACACACTCTTCAGATCAAAATAAGGTGAAGAAATGGAAAAGCATAAAGCTCAATCCAAAACAAAGGGGAGTTTTAAAAAAAACTTCTAGCTCCCAGCCTCTTTTGCTCTCACTGAAATCACTGGGTTTTTCAGCATAACTTTTGATGGGAACAATGTATGTTATCTTTTGGGGTAGGGGGGAACAGTCCTAAGGTTTTGATTCTGTACAGGCTTATTGCATGCATCACAATACTTATGTGAACAGCCCAATTCCTTCAGGGGACCGATGCCTGTGATTTATGCTACACACAAGTGAAAGGCTGGGAAACACAATTAGGTTGCTGGCGTTCACTTAAGAGAGACCTGCAGTGGAAAGCGGCATTAGATCTACTAAAAGAAAAGTCGTCGGAACAACAAGCCATATTGCCTCCTGATACCACCCTAAGAGGCAGGAGTGCTGTTGCTTATTGCAAAGAGTTCATTCATGGGGCACGGAGCCTGGCTCTTCCAAACTGGTCCTCACACTGAAAAGCTCTCTACTGAAAAGAGGAAGACAAGGTTTTTTTGGGTAGATGTGATATCTTGCATTAGACCAATAATGAAAAATATCACCTAATAATAATAATAATACAAATTCTACTATTATTACTACTGACAAGGTTTTTTGGGTAGATGCGATATCTTGCATTAGACCAATAATGAAAGATCTCACCTAATAATAATAATACTAATGCTACTATTACTACTACTGATAATATACATAAAGAAAGAGATCACATCTGCCCAAAGAACCGCGTCTGCCTATGTCCTCAGACCAACACAGTTACAACCGACAACCCTTTACTGAAAAGGTATCTATAAAATGAAACGTGCACAAGACTGCTGCAGAGGAAGATTATTTATGGCATGGCAGTACCTAGAAGTCCATTAATATACAATCTGTTCATTCGCCGGGTCTATCAGAAGAAACAAGAAATTGAAGTGCAGTGCAGCAGTGAAAGCAGTGATTTTTGTAGCAGTTTATGACAAATAGCTATAGAAGAGATGCCGGTTACAAAGTGAGGTCTTGAAGAGACATAGCCTAATTATTCCCTTGCTATACCTGGGTCCAATATGTGATTTCTGAAAGCGAAATATTCTTTAATGTATTGGATAGTCCAGCAGAGGCAAACTGAAATGAACTGTCATGAAGAAACGTCTCTCTCTGCCTGTCTTGCTCCTCCTGCAGAAGTGTACTTAAATGAAACGTGGTGTCACCGCTATGTGTTTGCAATTAGTTTCAGTATCCTGCCGCCAGATTAACACCACAACAAAGAGCTTTCCAAAGTGGACAGAGCTGTTTTGAACCGCTGGTGATAGGTCGGAATAAATCCCTGCAATTTTTTGAGACTGTATTAGAAACATGAACGCTTCCCCTCCCTCCCCCCATCACACTCTCAACTTTGAGGCGTTAGAACAGTGCAAAAAGGAGTGGCAAGGAAATGATAGCTGGGACAAGTGCATACTGCAGTTCATCAAATCAGACAGTCCTAAAAATGTAGCAACCCCTCAAGGTTTATGTCGTGGGTTTAAAGCTTACTATAAAAGCATTCGTGTATGCAGCTAATATATCCTTCCTGGAACGCCTCTTGAAACCTCCTTATACAGGAGAGAATGACTAGTTCACTCACTGCAGCATCTTGCGTCTAAACTATGCAGGGCTACGAGGGCTCGGAAATGTCTGACCGGCGGGGTGACGGGATGACGTGTCCCAACAGACCGCACGGGTGTTCCCTACGCACCTGGCTCAGCACACCGGAGAAACACCGTACTGCTATGCAAACTGGAGACCTTCTTTAAACAAGTGTCAGGGAGAGATCTGTGGCCAGAAGTCCATGTCAGAGGCTGGAGATTTGGATGTGTGCAGGGTGGAGCGGCTACACTGTACCTTGAGCTAATGGCTCATTTTGAGGGGCAAAGTGTGCGGGCCGGGAGCGGTCTGAGGCTTTCGGGGGCACGCGGCGGGCTGTGGCCGGGAGCCCGCAACGGTAGGGTGGGGACTCTGGCACGACGGACTAGAATTAGGCACGGACTCGTAGCGGTTGATTAAAGATTGTTTTACTTACACCATAGGTGGTCACGGTGCAGGCAGGAAAAACTTTCTTGAGTTGCAGTTACAGACAAACACAAGTGGAGTTTGCTAGGCTCCACCGAAGACACACGCACGGAGTTTGCTAGGCTCCGCAAAACAAACACGACAGAGCTCTGGATCAAAACCGTAGATACGTCTTAAGAATTTAACGAACGAGACGGGAAGAGGTTGGTGGTTGATCAGGCCGCCGAACTCCTCTGAGACACGCACAAAGTTTCTGTTACTCTGCCGCGTGCTCAGAGTCCCCATGAGATGGTTGTGGAGTCCTCTACAACTTGGGCGGAAACTGCTCAAACCTCTTATACGACTAGCAAGCCAATCGCTAGCTGCCACGTGGGAATAATTTAGAAACAGCCAATAGTGGGAAACAAATTTACATACGGGTGGCGGGAACTCCTTTGCACCGGGGTTCTCTCTCTGCAGCTGAGAATTGCAC